CACACCACACACACAGCACACACACACAGCACACACACACACACACACAACACAACGAGGGCCGATGTTTACATCCAGGATGAAGTGTTGAATGTTGAATTGGAGCCCTTATGATAATCCCTTGAATGAGATTTGCCCTAGAGAGGGCTTGAGGAGAAGAGAAGCAATTACTTTGTTTAAGTGGTCCTTTGTCTCACATTTGTTAACCTCTTTAGCAATCCTTTTATTTTTCCTTGGTAGTTCTAAGGCTAGATAAACTGTCTTTTATCACTGCACTGACCAGTAGCCATATATATTCTGGATCCATCCTCTGTAGCCCCGTTTATTAATTACCTACTCCAAGGAGGGCCGTGTTTTGAAGCCCCATTTTAGAGCCGAATACATAATCAGGGGGATACATTCAGTTTGTTAAAGAAGACGGAGCATTTTTGTAATGCATTCCATGTGGTTTCGAAATTAATTGAAAAATTATTCATTGGAAAATTTTGGTGGAAAGAAATTTTTTGTCCATATTAGGCCAGAAAAACAGCGGAAATGAGTTCAAACGCACACATTTTCGTAAAAAAAAAATGATTGGCCTGGTTGAGGTCTGGGCCTCTCCAAGTGCCAATCTAGTTAATTTGTTTGTCAAATATGTTTTTTAAAATGACCTCAGAATTCCCTAGAAAACGCAAGTTCTGTTTCTTTGGATCTATTCATCGACCTAGAATTCCATCTTTGAGTCCCAGCCACAAGACCCCAATGTATAAAAACTACCAGAAGGCCCTAAGTTTGGCCCTTCACAATGGACAGTGGCGCATTTTTGTGAAAAGAATAAGGTCTCTTAGGCAACAAATATTATGGTTTTGATGTATCTTTAAGGGACCAAACCATAATGGCTTTTGGGGGTTTTTTCTCCTTTCCTGTGTGTTGAATAGGTTTTTGTGGATGTAAATGGCCTGTAAAGCACCCTGCATTGGACTTCTTTGTTTACCTCATTACATGATGGCTCACTAACAAGACACTTCTATTGGCTAAGCGCTCCCGTCACATTTGTACCTGATAAGGCTAAAGGGTGGGACCGTTAACGCAAAATCACTACCAGAGCCGGCCATCCATCCAATCAGAGCGACTGGGCTCTGGTTTCAGACAGAGGTGAATTTATGAGAAAAATAAAGAGGCTTCTTGAACATTATAAGCATGGAGACATGTAAGCAGTAGAAGCAGCTAAAATAAGCAGGATATAACTGAACATAGGGCCCTTTAATGAAGCCGGCGATTGTTTATATTTGTTTAGACTATACCTCCTCCATTTTATAGATGATGTAAATAATACATAATAGTACAAGCTTATTTTTTTATGAATTTGTAAAACTGATATGTTATAGGAAAATGGCATACATCATCCACACAATTACATATTTTTATTCTGAACCAACCTACGCCTGCTTGAGTCCTGAGCGTTTCCCAGTCAGATGTTCCTGGAAGCAGCATGTGTAACTAGCCAGCAAGGTCACATGTTCCTGCTCTTCCCTTGTAATCGTACACAGCTTCAACCAGCTGTGATTCCTCCCACAAATTCCACCCTCTATCGTCCACTAAACCCCTGGCAGTTCATTCGTGTCATCATCCAGAATGCTGGCATATAAAAATGAAATGATGTGCACTCAATAATTAATTTAAAAAGGATGACAGGAGTAAGAAGATTATCTGTCTCTGTTGATGCTGGATGAGAACATCAAAGTCAGCAAGTTTCTTATCAGCTCAAAATTAACTCTCTAATTTGTCTATTTGTGTCATGGATGACAAGGAAGATAATCCTGTTACGCTTGTGTAAATGCGCCATAATCATTTAGCAGTTGTTCCTTATCTTATGGAGAAAATTGACCCCGTCTTGCTCCTGTGACTTTTTCTTTGTCACATGATATTGTAGCATTGGATTACAAAGTGGCCGTTCTTGGTCACAGGTAAAACCCTTTGTGTGTGTTTTTGTCATTTGTTTTTGATATATTCCCCAATGTCATTAGCCGCAATGGTTTTTCATAAAAACCACTGCTAACGCTGACCGACACCCAAACTATTCTGTCCTTTCCCCGCTCAGAGATCCAAGGTCGTACGCACGGCCATCTCTGCTTGTCTTAGCGGACATCTCTCAGGTGGATGTCTGCTCACGCACCTCAACTGCAACCTTGACAAGACTGAACTGCTTTTCCCTTCCGGGAAAAGAATTGTCCACCTCTAGACCAAACAATCAACATCGCACCGTCTGTTGTTTCCCCCGACTCAGAACTGGCAAGGAATCTGGGTGTGACCCTAAAAGATAACAATACTNTGCTCTAGCAGCCAAGTAAACTGCGGCCCCGTCTTCTCCACGGTCACAACCGGAGGAGAGGAGGTTGCGGTGCAGTGGCTGTTTATGCATGTGTAAGATATAACTATCTTACACATGCATAAACAGCCACTGCACCGCAACCTCCTCTCCTCCGGTTGTGACCGTGGAGAAGACGGGGCCGCAGTTTACTTGGCTGCTAGAGCACACTCAGACACGCTTACCTCTTGAATAGTGTGCATGAAAAATAGTGAGTCTTCCAGCCCTGCCTGGGGCTTACTGCGCACCATGTTCCCGGGTCCCTAAGGAGCATGGCAAAACATAAGTGCATTATGTCCAGGGGGGGGGGGGGGGGGCAGAAACCTACTGAACCACAGCC